TCATGTGACGCTGTTATTGACAATGACAACCGCAACAGCCTACCGACATGCGCTACATGCATCATCTGCAAGGCATTGTAACGGCTACGCCTAAGCCGTTGCGCCATGGGCAAAAGATCAGGCATTGATCGAATGACGAGCGACCAATACAGGCGTAATTGCTGCTTATAGGGGGTTACGAGGGACCAGGTCGTAACAGGCATTCATCCACCTGAAGGAAGCAAGTGACTTATCTTCCCCAGCCTCATGTCGTTCGACTAGCATTCGAAGCGAAGCAGCGGGCATTCACGTTGCATCAATGCCCTTGGGAAGATGACTTAGGATTGGGCTTTTTGAGCGAAGCATCTGCAGCTGAGACAGTGGAACTGACCAGACAAGCATCGATCACGACCCACAGATCCAACGCGCCATCCTTCTATGATTCTGATACCTCTGCAGACGAGCTTTCTGTAGATCACGGACCGTAAGATAAACGGAGCGAGAGGCCTGGGAAGAGGTTGCTCACAAGAGCCAGCCGCTTGCGGCAAGAATCACAGGATGGTCATGAACAGTCACGGTCTGCTTCTGATAAGCGAGTTGACAGTGGATCTTTCACAGACGGAGTGGATGATTGAATAGCCTGATATGAATAACATGCAGGACATTTGAGAAGACACATCAATGAGGGGGTAGCTCTGTCTAGCCCTTCTTCAGACACTGAAAGGACTAATGTTGAGCAGGAAACACAGTGCAAACCCACCCAGGTTTCCTTGCACGCTGTGCGGCCATTGTTTCAAGATGAGAAACCTTCGCACTCACCGTAGGCTGGACGAGGCGGCAAGCATGTTTGATTCTCCTTCCGATGCACCCAAGCCCACTATTGTTGAGCATAGCACACCCTATCGCTCAATTCTTCCAACCATGTGTCGTATAATTGACAGTGGAGGTAATTCAATTAGAGACAATGTAGGCAGACAGGTCGCATTGCGTGAACCAGCTGCGTGGTCTCTACAAGGCTAGGCCGGCTCTTTGGCATCCTCATCGCAAACGCTCGAGCTGGGACTGGAGCGCACGACCAAATCGCAGTCCTGTAAGGGGTCGTTCAGCGCCCAGCCTCCCTGAACCCTCCTGGCAACGTTGACATCCGCATGCTGGGCCCACTCCGTGAGGCAAGTGTCTTGGGAGCCGCCGAATCCGACCTCGGGCTCCAGTCCCTCGTGTGCCGCCAAGAGGTGCCGAGCGGCGTGCTCCATCCAGTCGTCCCAGGCCTTGTCTCCGGAGAAGACAAGATCGCAATTCTCGGCGGGGCAGGTCATATTCAAAGGAAGCTGGCAACGCGTGCGCAGCGCTCGTTGCTGCAGCTCGGTCATGGCCTCCTGCGTCTGATGGGCGTTGATATTCAACAGATGCATACGGCGAACATGCTGCATGTGTAAATCCTTTCTCCTAAAGACTTTGCCGTGAGCAGGAAGGTTGTTGGCTCGACACGTGGTCCCGGATCGTGTGGCGGCGGTACATTTCATGTCGTCGCAGCGGTAGTATTCGAGGCAGATGTGCTGCTTCAGCACGTGGCGTTTCCACTCGTTCTTCTTTGAGAACGTCTTGTTGCATCCAGCGTAGTGGAAGACGCAGATGAACGGCCGTATGGGGGTCTCAATGTGTTTGTCAAAGGCCAACTGCTCTCGGTGTGTGATCCCGTATTGGGAGCGCTTCAGGTCGAAGGGCGATGCGAAAGATGTGGAAAGCGACTGTGCAGTACAGTCGGTTGGGGCTGAATCCACGGTCTGTTGGTAATTGGTACTTTCAGTACCCATTTTTGCCTCACGATGCCCATTGTAATAACCAGCCACGGCGCTTTGCGCAGCGGGCGTGTTGCCTTGCGGGCCATAGGGGGTGAAACCAGTCATTATTTCTGCAAAACTAGGTAGGCAGATCCCACTGACACTCTGTGGCTCCTGTGGAGGTAGAATTGGTGCCAGAGCCGGGGAAGGCGGCGTGTCAAGATGATTCTGGCAACGTAGCCGACAGCTCATAGCACTTCTGTCAGGTATATGCCTTGAGACATCTTCCCACTTCGTACCACTCACTCGAAGCTCGGTCAGGATGGCGTCCTTCTCCTTGGCCCACCTGTGCCTCAGGAGCGAAGGCTTGTTTTCGCGCGCTTCCATGGCTCTCACGATCTCGACTTCGGAGAGAGCAGTGTTTTCTCTGGCTGCTGGCTGTCCTTCGAGAGCTGAGAATTCTTGCTGAATACTGCAGGAGAAGGCTGGTCAACGAAGCAGGGGCAAATGCGGCAATGACATGCAGCTAAAGGAGAAAGTGCAGTTCTGACGCGCAGCAGCTGGCGTTTTTATATCCTTCTACCCCTGCTTTATTGCTGCCGCATGACCTGCAATGAACGTGCTTCATGATGAGAAACGTACCTAGGTGGCAGTGGAGGGTGTTGATGTTCAACTGGGGGCACAGCCAACTTGGACAATGCCGCTCATCAGTATCCTTGCTGCAATGCAGAAGCAATCGCAGCAACTCGGGCTTACAAGGGGGCTGAATGTGATGCGATCGGTTGGTATGTGCTGGCCACTGAGAAGCTAAGACAGCACAACTCGTGGGCTAGCAATCCTAATCAGCGGATGCACCTCCGGCGAGCCGGGGAGTAGCGGCTCCGCGCGCTAGTGGGGCATGACTACAAGGAACGAAATGCTCCCGGTGCACGCTAAGCTTGATTAGATCGCGTCATTTGCGACGCGATCTCTTCCGGGAAAGCGTCAAATGCGATGTTCAGTCTGCATGTCCCCCGGTAGTGCGCACAACTTCCAGTGACAACAAACTCGATTGACAAACCTTGTGCATCCGATGGCATCTGGAAAAGTGGTGAATGAAAGTTGTAGGAAAGCCGCAGATGAGGCTCAGGTGGAATAGTTCACGCGTACTCTGCTCTCGCCGAGTCGTGAGGAGACTTTGCCGGGATGCTGAGTCCAAGAGCGAAAACACACCATGGTGTTGCCGTCTGAATACTCAAAGCGTTTCGTCAATGGGCCAATCATGCACCATGGAAGTCAGTGTTCTGAAAGATGAATACGCTGGAGCCAGGGAGCTAGCAATCCATCACAGGTCAGGCCCAGTGAAAGGGGCAGAGAACAAGCTCTCTATCCTCATTCCCGCCACACAAGAGGTACACTTGATATTCTTGAGGGCCAGGGGCTTAAGCGAGGGACAGTGGGCTGTATGGACGATTCAATTTATCCTCATCCTCAACGGGAGTACTGTGGTTTGGACAGATACTTGCATGGATTATATTTGCGTGTCAATCTGTGTAGAGTAATTCAGTTCTGGGACCCGGAAAACTTGATTACTTTGTCCACGCCATTCATAGCCTCAAAGCTGGGGATTTTTGGATTATCTGTTCAAGGTTAGGCACTGTGACGTTACAACATACTGATGTATCTGCTCTTACGATTCGTGGTGTCTCCCCCTGAACTGCTTCCATGTGTAGGATCGTCGTGTTCCTGAGGAGGATTCTCTTCCGTCTCGCTCGAGTCTTTTCCGTCCTCGCCCTGGATCGAGGGATTCTCGGACTGTTTGGTCGACATGATCTAAAGCATATGATGGTTGTTGGGAAACAGGTCTGCCGTTCTTCGTCCGGACGTAAAGGCTACTTATCCTGTTTTCCTCTCCTCTGCGATCCATGATATTTCCCTCTGCTTCAACTTTCCCTGTAGCCCGAAAGCCGGCCAACATAACGAAGAAGTTGCCCCTTTCCTCTTCCGCTCCGCCACTTGAACTAGCAAGGCTATGCATGGCCACGCGCGGTCTTTCCGGTAGACCTTTAGCCGCCCGCCCTTTTTTCACCTTTCTGGTGGATATGTTCACGTACATCTCTTTCATTTGCTCCTATCTCGCTTTCCCCAAGCCCTTCGTGGCCTAACAAATTCAGTGCGTATGCAGGGGCGTCGGCGTGACCAGCATTCAAACAATCCTGACCATACCCCGCAGCGTTGATGTGAGCTCATGGAAGCCACTCTTGCCATATATTACGGTATATCCGTAGCTGAACAGAAAGCTGAGAGTCAAAACTCTTCATAAACCTTCTGCGCTTTCTGTCACCCTGGTGAGACGGGAGGCTCTTACCCATAACCGGGGTCTCTGCACATCAACTATGCCGAAGATAATATACTTCCTGGAGAAGGACTGGAGAGGTAAAACAGAAATCTGGAGTACCTGCAACACATACTGATAAATCTAGATCTCCGTAAACAGTGCGAACGGATTAGTCTTCCGGTGCAGACCTTAAAAGGGAATGGGGTGCCTTCTAATGAATACATCTTCTTCAAAGAGGAAGGCTCTGAACGACACGGGCAAGTTTGCCGCCGCAAGGTGCTGGACGACAACGAAGAAATCTTCGCGATCGTTGATTTTATGATGCCCTCAACAGTTGTCTCTGGGAGTGATTTGAAGAAAGCCCCAGTTAAAGAAGGTTTTTAGTTCTGGTCCGCCCCTCACAGCAAGTAGAGAAGAACCGGTAATTTGCATGGGAATTCCGATGTGCCATTCTGAAGGTAGCATCACTATGCTTGTCTGCTTGCTGGAAAGGACAGGTCATCCTGAAGGCACAAGCTGATCCCCGCATCGACCGTGCACCAAGACAACAGAGGAAATTGAACCGCCCTGATCTGCTACAAAGGGTAAGCTCACTAAGAACTCTCAGTGCGATCCCCCACGTGGAAGTGACCGATGTCATCTTGTTCGAAACCGGTCGGGATTGTCTTCCTTGTCGGCAGGCATCGTTTGGATAGTGCTGAAGTCAGCAAGGTGACGACGAGCAACCTGGACTGCAGTTTTGAGTTTCTGAGACGTTGACAACTTGAAGGGGTCAACCACTGTCCAGCCATAGGAAGAAGGTATCGGTGTCTTACAATATGTGAAGCGTTACGGTAAAGAATTTTCGCCCAGGCAACTGTAGCTGTGATTCCTGTTTACTGGTAATAGTTGGATACCAGTAAGATACTAAGTCTCTTTGACTTTGCACACCTACGTTCGGATGGCGGCTGACGCTGCCTAGAAGATGAAGGCGTGCCGAGTCGCGCTTGACAGATGCTGTCGATGATAAAATAGGAGGGAAGGTGATAGTTTGACTCGAGGAAAAGGTAAAACATTTTAAACAGGCGACTTTGACATCCCCTGTCTTCACCAACGACCTGTCCGCCACAGGTCAGATCTCTAGCCCCCCTTGAGATACTTCGTGATCACCTCGGACTGTGCAGCCTCATTCGGCTAGTCCGTGCCCGAGATGGCCAGGAGCGCTGGTGTCCTTTAAATTTCAATGTTAGTCATCAATGCAAAGATTCATACGGCGGCCGTTTGCACGGCCGCGCCACGGAATACATGTTGGTTATGCACGGCTTGTGAGCTGAACTGCAAATAATCACCTGAACAATTGGCATGGCGCGATAAGCATTGGACTTCTTAGCTCTTAGCGACGTTTAGATTTGTGGCACAGGTAACAAGAAACCGTTGCAGAATAATCTTGCGTAGCCCCCATCCTCAGGCTGTGTGTAACGTTGTACTGTCAAAGGTGCGCTAGGCACCGTGTTAGGAAAGTAAATTCATCACCGGGTGGAGGACGACGGATGGAACAGTACTGCGCCCGGCTCAAAAGTACAGATCGATAAATCTGGGTGTGACTGGTGAGAATGAACAGCCAAATGCATCGATAAGTACTTTCCACCTCTCACCACCCATTTTTACCGATTCAGGTGGTCTGAGTGGCGATCCGGCAGGGAACAAACCAATAGAAAACCTTGTCACATTAGTCACACGCTTTGGGTCTGCGATAGGCCCGAAACCTGCATCCTTGCCTTTAGCTGTCCATGCGCCTGAGGTGATACTGCAGCGACGACTTAAATCTGACATACTGTGCTTCTTCGTCTGATATTCGTCCTCCATTTCCCACGACCTCCACACGATCGCACGGTTCAAAGCTGTCGTATGCAGAATGTCAAGGCAGCGCCGACAGAGCAGTGCCAATTCCGGGCTTCTGCCGGTGCCTGATCCTAAAATGGACCTGGAACACGTGCTCAAATTGCTACCGGAGAAGCACGCTCAAGCTATTCGCTCTTTCCGTGCATCGATCCCTAAACTCCGGTCGCAAGACAAACGGCGTCATTGTGAGGCAATCCGGGACAACCTCACAAATTCTACTTCAGAGATAGAACTGGTCTCAGCCTGTTACGATGTCCTCTTCCGAGAACATCTCACGGCGGAAGCATGCTCTGATGCGGATTGGGTCGCGTTCAAACGGATTTCTAGCGCTGGCCACGAGCGCCTCGTGGCCACGACCACTGTGAGCAAGATTTGGGGCGACGACTTCGTACGCCACTATAAATTTCTTTCGAGACCACTCATATACTGCAATACGCTCCGTGTAGCTGCGAGAACCATCCGGCAACGGGAGGCGGCGGTAGTTATATTGAACCGCTGCATCTACCACAGAGCTCGAGCAACGGATGGACGAATACCCGAGGTGAGAGACGACATTAATCCGATTGAGAACTGGGATTTGGTAAAACTCAAGAAAGGCACACCTCCAAATGTTGATATCGCGCCATTGGAAGGTTTTGGTTGGGACAAATTCGGGCTCCTTGTGCGCAAAGGTTGGGCGGTCGAACAGGTGGCGGACCATCAACATTCGTCATTCGCCTCAGTATCAGTGGGACCCTCAAGACCTGAAGCAAATGGCGGCCACGAAACTCCACTCCACGTCTCACCGTCGTTGCCAGCGCCTTCAGACACATACTCCTATGAAGAACGTCAGACCTTGCAAAGGCATATAGCCGGCAACGCGCTAACCCTCCTGTCGTCGTTACCGTTCGCGAGCAGCGCGGAAAGAGACAAAGGCTCGGGTTTGCAAATTCCGAAGGTTATCGCTGGATATTACAGAAAACCCCTCCCAACAACGTCTCTGGCATCAACTAGGGCGAAGACCGGCTGTATCTCGCCTCAGCCCCGACTCTGCAACTCATCGGCAGCTGACAGGACAGGAGCTTCAGCGCCATCTTCCGAAGTTCCATCGTTACGAAATGTTTCCTCTACCGAGGTCTCGCCATCAGCTCTATCTTCATCCTTGCAGACGCAACATTCTCCAGTAGAGCCCGATTCCCACAGACCTCCATCTTCGTCAGTATGGATGGAAAACACATCTAAGTCACTTCCTCCATTGCCCTTGCAGCTGTCCTTGCAGACTGCTCCTTCACCAACCGCCCCTGTGGCTAGGCGGTTACCTTCCGGGAGCTCGGTAGGGAGGGCGAAAACACGGAAAAGATCAGGACGCGACCTTTCGAGACAGGCGAAGAGGCTGTGCTCCCACTACACCGGGCTCGATTCGATTACGCAGGACGATGATCTTGCAATCTATCTTGTCGAAACGTTCACACGGATGACTCAGCAGAGAATTCCATTTGAGATGCTTTCTCGAGCAGTTCAAAAAGCTCTGCAGCACTGTAAGCAGGCCACACAGCCTGATCCCGTCAATTTTGCAGCATCAGAGCCGGATAAGACCTTTCAGAAAACCCGCTCTGTTATTGCCGATACAACTATCACTGTTCCGCATGCTGCTGCTTCGAGCGTTATTATCACCAACCAGCCAGCGGCCTCTCTCACCACCCCTATCCATGCTGAACAGGTACTTTCCTCCCTTCCGCCCTCGCCGGGTAGATATGACCGCTTGAAGGATCCGTGCTGAATAACTTAATTTAGTCACGAAGTTCACCAGCCACCCCTGCTTGCAATCGCCAGCCGTCATGTCCACAAGCGGAGGGCCTAGGATCACAAACCCATTCACCAAACGTCCCTAGCTACTCGAGGGAAGTGGCTTTGGCATGTAAGTGCTGAGTAGAGTCCTTTAATCACACTGATTTGGTGAATGTCGCGTTATTAATTCATTAATGTAGACATGCGTGCCGATTCTTTCGGGCCTCAGTTTCACTTTCCCACATGGAACACTGTTCCAGACACGGCACTCTCAGTCACCTATGCAATAGACGGGAACATTGCAGGGCTCAAAACGTTATTCGAAAACAAGCTAGCGTCTCCCAAGGATGTCAGCAGCACAAGAGGCTTCAGTCTAATAAGAGTACGTATTGCCCGCGCAAAACTCGTTAGGAGCTAATCATAAGGGTAGTGGGCACTTTACGGAGGGCTACACCAGCATGAAACAATCAAGTTCTTATTAAGCCAAGGGGCTGTCATAGATGACGAGTAGGTATATCCTATCTCAATTCCTTCAAGAGCTTGCTGACCGATAATGTTACCCTAGGTCATACGATCACGTGTGGGACTTTTCCTTCCGCCGTAAATGCAGCTACGAGGACCTGCATCAGCTTTCGTGCATCAGGCTGAGCGGGGAAAGGGACTGGATCGATGACCAAGACTTCCCCCTTCCCCACAATATTATATTCGGCCTCTCTGGGACGAGACTCAAGGACGAGCTCGAGAGGAATCCAAAAGCTTCCAAGATGAAAGATGCCCAGGGACGCACCGCGCTGGATTGGGCCACCGCTCGAGGTCAACTGGATGATATGAGGATTCTGATCAGCCATGGTTCCGAAGTAAACTCAATGGATGCTGCTGGACGTACGACGGTTCTACATGCAGTGGACAGCCACAACATGGAGGCCCTCGAGATTCTCCTCGAAGCTGGTGCGAATCCTAACCCGCAGATGCCAGGTCGTCTGGCTCGAAGCAGCCCACTTACGTCGGCCAGCTTTGGCGGCCTGGCGGCCATGGTGAAGCTTCTTCTTGATTACGGTGCCGAGGTCAACACGTGTAATCCCGAAGGTCGCTCACCGCTCACCACTGCGATGCTCAAACATAATCACGTGGTGTTCAAAGCCCTCGCCGACTGGAACACCAACATGGCGACTGGCCACGTGCAGCCTCCGCTCCTTTCAGAAATAGCTAAGCACGCGGATGTTGACACGATGTCCATTGTCGCATCATCATCTCTATCTCAGTATCTCGACGTTGACGACCTGACCGCCAGTCGTGAGGCTTTGTGCCGGCGAGAAGACTACGACACATCGCTGTTGGACGCGTTCCAGTCCATGCTCCCCAATACGTAGGGTCGATGGAAGCCCCATAGTGGTAAATTTCATTCCATACCTGTGGCACGTTCCACTTCACGCACGGCTCACACAGCCCCTTTTCCTCACGATCAATTTAGCAGGCGATTGCAATGTGACCTTCGCAACTTGCTGATATAGTTAGTGGTCTTGGCGCTTTTGGGAAAACCTCTTCGCGGGATAGAGTTTTACCACACTGTTGAAATATTACACTGGCATTAATAGGGCGTTACCCGCGCCGTGAGCAAATGAACAACGGAGGTAGCCAGCAGTAGAGCAGCCTCAAACGTGAAACTAAAACACGGTCTACTTGATGCAAGGTGGCGCCAATTCCCGTAATTCTGATCGAGTCCTGTACAATGTTGCACTGCTGACGAATCATCTGGCACCATTCTACTAGCTGCGGCGACGTTAATCTACGTACCAAATGAGTTAGAACAGCCTGAGCCAACGAATCGAGACTGGCATAGTGGCAGAATTGCGGAGGTGCCTGAAGCTCAACATTGAGCCAATGCTGTTACTTAGCAACCTGCCTGCGCGGTTGAGCTGGCGCAGCTGGACTAGTCCATCTTGAAGTGCTATAGTTACCTCGATGGTTGCAGCAAAAAGAAGCACGTGATGATTGAAGAAATGCCAGCGCGATTATGTAATGATTAGCACGTGACTTCTTGAATAACGTGCGGGGAAACTAATCGCATCCCTTAAAAGCTCGACTCCGCTAACTCATAAGCTAAAAAGCTCAGCTTAATCAACTCTCACGTCAACATGTCTGATCAAGATAGGTCAACACCGCGCGTATTCATTGTACGGCATGGTAAGTCTATGCGTTAAATCTCCTCAAAGAATAAAAATCAAGTCTTACGCACTTTTACCCATAGGAGAAACAACATGGGCGAAGAAAGGCCGTTTTACGGGCAAAACAGATATTGCCCTAACCGAGGAGGGGGAGGCACAGGTTTCTCACGCGGCAACTAAAGCTGTGGGCCCAGGCAAGCTCATCGACCCCCAGGGCCTTGGGACAATTTACGTTAGTCCGAGGTTGAGGGCGAAACAAACCCTGGATTTACTAGTGCCTGATGCCGCGGAACGGGGAATAATCAGAAATGAGATTGAGGAATGGGATTACGGCCATTATGAAGGGCTCACAATTGACAAAATCAAAGAATTAAGGAGGACGCGAGGGCTGGACAAAGATGAAGAGTGGAACATCTGGAGTGACGGATGCGAGGGTGGGGAGTATGTCTTACCTGGTAAGTTGATCGATGCATTCGCTCACAACTTGTTTTTAGGTCGAAAGAACAAGTAACGGACCGACTGGATAGGCTCATCTCTGAGGTCCGACAGATTCAGAAAGCTTCCATGGATGGGAGAGGAGCTGCTGATATCCTGATCGTAAGGCCGACTCTCCTTCCCTTTCCCACTCAATATGTGCACAGTGACTAACGCGTATGGACTCCAAGGTTGCGCACGGTTTAATCCTCCGTTGCTTTGCGAAGCGTTGGATTGGATTTGAGATCGACGCCTCCCTTGAATTGATGATGGACCCTGGAGCTATTGCCGTTTTGAGGTAACCCGAAAATCCTACTTGCCATGCGCGTCTGATTGCTCATGATCTTGAAGCTACAAAAACAAAGACATCGACAAGCCGGCTATTCACCTTGGTATGGCTCTGTGAAGAACCAGCCAACATGTATTCCGTACTCACCTACGAATGAGCTTGGGGCAGACCATCCCGACACGCTGATGAGCATGAACAACCTCGTCCACACCTGGCAGTGTATGGGAATGGTATTAGAAGCTACTGAATCGATGCGCGGATGCGTTCGCCTGAGTCGATTTAAGCTGGGCTTAAATCACGGTCACACGAAGGCTTCTGTCTCTACTTTAGACGACCGGGTTAGCCGGCTCTCAACTTAGTAATTGCTTCTATGAATAACTTTGTTTTTCCTCTTTTATAAAGACGCAACGCGCTAGATGTCCTGGAATAGCAGCTCATCGTTTCGTTCTCCATTGCCAACATGTCTCCTGAGGAGAGTATTCGGACAGCGCATCATCACCAACTGATGTTGGAATCCGCCGACCCCTGCTTAATGCGCGTGTGGACAGCGAGCCTGGTTAGAGAATCCACGCCCCAGTTACACACCATAACTGAACCCAGATACTGAGGGCAATAAGGCTGATTGGGCGCATCGCTCGCGACGCTATTGCTTGTAATAAAGCGTCAGCTGACACACGCTATGCAGGCAGCAAAGACGCCAGGTATCACTACCCAAGCCGCGAGAATTATTATTATTATTATTATTATTATATTTAACGCCAGAGGGGGCGCGAGGCGCCCCGGACCTCCCATGGGGTATGTGGCGCGCAGAAGACTATCTCGTAGAATGTCCAGGAGAATATCCTGCGAATCGTACCTTACAAAAGGAATAAGCGTGTTAGCCGTATCCGTTGGCTCCTCCGTTCGAGCTCGTGCCCGGTTTGTCTATCTATCTAGGTGACCGCGTGCGTAGACCTCGGTCTTATGTTGTCTGGTGCATAGAAAAAGGGGTTAGGCTGTCCGCCTAGCGTGCCCTATGGGGGCGTCTGAATGTGTTCGGGCAGATATCCGTGAAAAATTTAGTGAGCTTGGCAAAGCTCGCAAAGTCCTTTGGGCTTGTTACTAGTCTGTGCCAGTATTCCCTGGGGCTTTGAGGTCGTGGGTCGAAGGTCGGCCATTGCGCCTGGAGTCGTCTCGTCTTTGGACAGAAGACGAGGTGTTCTGGGGTTCGGAGCCCTCGGCAGGAGCAGGGGTTATTATCGTCGTGGTTGAATTTGCGGTGGTACCAGTTAAAGTCGCCGTGTCCTGACCTAGCGGCAAGTAGGCTATGTAGTACTGGGCGTGGGAGGTTGAGTTCTTCTGGGCAGACTAGTGAGGCCGCCTCCAGGCCTATATCCCTATATCTTTTGACGCTAGGCAGCTCGGCCTGCCACCAAGCTGCATGTTGGTCTCTGTTCTTAGACTTCCGTAGCCTGCTTACCCCGGCTAAGGTGGCCTGCTTGTTCGGGTCTGCTGGAAGCCAAAGCCGCGAGAAGCAGGAGTGAGAGGAACATCAAGTACGGGGCGGCACGCTCAGGGCTTGGCTCCGCGTTTTCTGATGGTGCACAAGCGGCAAAACCAACATACTGCGCATGGGGCAAGCCAGTTATATTTTCAGCGCATGCACACTGAGTTCTCTCGCGACTGTCTCAAAAAACTTTGATGATACGCGACGCAGAGTAACACTCAAACCCTTCTCTAATCATCTCGAGATGTAGTCCTCCCGGATTTCTGGTTATCTTCGGCAATTGTGTTCGACAAAAGATGAAGCCCAGGACGAGTGTGAGAAGGGCGGCGCAATGGTGGCGGGCTCGGGACATTGAGAGCAGAGTGAGCTGTTGCGGTGTGTGCTGATGAGTTGACGGCGTTCGGACCGAGCAAAGAAGCCCCCACGCTCATGCTGGCAAAACTCTAGTCTCGAAAAGGATACCACACGCAGCCGGATCTCAGACCCAGAAACGGACTTTGTGAGAACTCAAGCCAATGTATCATGAATAACAATTATAGACTTGGATGCAAGGAACGGAACAACAATCGCAACTTAGCATAGCCTCCCTCTGCACTTATGAGAGCCGCATTCATAGGTGTGATGATGAGCCCACCTTACAGCGACGCTACGCTCGATTGAGATTCTGCCATTGGCGGTGGAAAGGTGACACCAAAAGGGTGAGAACCCGAAATAGTAAGACCGGAAGGTAAAGGACCCGGAACACAGCAACTAAAGAAGGAATGCTCTAAAAGAATAGCTTCATGATAAATAGAGCCTCAACGGCTATCTCTTTTGTAATAATACAAGGCACTTGAACAACCTTCTCCACAGCGCATCACAATAGGTCTATCGGTGGCCTCAATCATACCCCAGTCACCTATAATCTATAAGGCAATCGACGTGCATAATAGTCTAGTCGAGAAATCTTTCCATGCTACGGGAACGTACATTGGCGTCTATGGAAGACCAGGCGTACGAATATGTGCAGGTCGAATGTAAGTCTACAAAAGTCCAATCTATATTAGCAACATAATAACCCACAGCCTCATGCTTTGTGCACTTTCACTCGTACAGCGGATAGTCATGTGACGCTGTTATTGACAATGACAACCGCAACAGCCTACCGACATGCGCTACATGCATCATCTGCAAGGCATTCATCCACCTGAAGGAAGCAGGTGACTTATCTTCCCCAGCCTCATGTGGTTCGACTAGCATTCGAAGCGAAGCAGCGGGCATTCGCCTTGCATCAATGCCCGTAGCCTTACAATAGCGTCCACGCACTGGCTTGCAGGACTGAACGTACACGCGGGATAGGTAGTGAGATTTGAATGCATACCCTCCGGAACCTCTTACCCTACGCACTGGCATTCAATACAAATCGTTCTGCAGCGCCGAATTTCTCCAAAGATGCATCAAGCACCAACCAATCGCCCGCCTTGCTCAGCTGCGTCGCAATCCACAGGATGCGTTCCACGCGCAGGTCAACGAGGGACCGACGCTCAAAGTAGCGCTCCTCAAACTCCACCTTGCTGTTCCGGAACCAGTTGGGCGGGAAGTAGTCGTCCGTGTACCACAGTCCGCGCATGGTATAGTCCTCTGGGAACGGTCGTATGGGCTGCTCGCTGTTCGAGCCCGGGAACGTATCAAACCGAAACTGCGGGTTGCTCTTGTTCTTCCGGGCCGTAAAGAGCCAGTAGTTGAGCATGTCGGCAGTGAGGTCCCACGGGAAACGTTCTGCTATACGCTCCATGGCGTCTAGGCACTTGGACACGTGTAGTAAAAAGGTCAGGATCGTGTGTGCAAAGGGTAATATGTTCGTGTCCCCCGTGCGTCGGATAGCGATCTCGTAGACTTGGGTCAGGAATTTCAGGGACACATTGAACTCGGCGCGTGTGGCCTCGTTGTCCTCCACCGCCGGATCAGTGGGTTTCTTGAGATAGTCGGGCATGACGAGCGACCTAAACTTGTTGCCATTCTCATGCCAGTACCCAAGCAGGTTGCAAGTGATGGCGATGCCTGTTTGGTACCTATGTCCAAGTGGTCAGCCAACAGGTCACACAGGAAGAATAAAAAGCTACTCGCCCACTCTCCAACCAACGCTTGGACATCATGGCAATGTGGGTGTCGAGGCTGCGCAGGTAATACGCCTGGGCCTCGTCGAGCTGATCTTTATGCTCCCCCGTGAACAGAATGCCAAGGATTAGCGCAAACGTCATATCAACCATGCGATGTTTATGGATCGCGTTGGCCGAGGAGGAGGAGGAAGCTGCACCCCGCCCGTCCGCGTCGCCGCCGTCGTCGCCGGTAGCCTGCTGCTCTGCGCCGCCCGTGGTGGTCACTGACTGTATATCGCGCTGAAACCACTCCGACGTGGCCTGCGCGAACAAGGGATCGTACACCTTGCGGATGCTCGCGCGTGTGCCGTCAAAGGGCAGCGGCACGCACAGCGACTTGGCCCAGTAGCAGAGCTGCGGCACCACGAAGCCCCGGTTGAGGACGGCAAAGTGATGGTATAGCCTGCCGACGTGCGGCAGCCTGTCCGAGGTGTACATGTACCACGTCCTTGATACCCCCTCCCAATGCTCGCGGACCTCCTCATTGTTCTCAACCGCATAGCAATAGCGAGCCAAATCACCGAGACACTCTGTCCAGGTGTCCTGGAACAGCGGGTTGGTCTCTCGGAGCAAGCCCAACAGGCCGTATGCCGTGTACAGGAAGCACACCAGCGGTTCGTACGCGTCGGGCAGGCGAGTCCGCAGTAGCTCGAGGTATTGGTAGATGCCAAACTGCCACAGCTTGGCTGGCATGTCCCTCTCGACGGGGATATATGTGAGGGTGTTCTGCCCAGCTGGGTCTTGGCATGCCATGAGCAAGTCGTAGTGGTTATTTATCAGGGCCCGATGCTCAAGCCACTGTAAATACCATTCCTCGGCGGTGATCTTGGCGTCGGGTGTCGCTTTTTTGGAAGCGGTCCATTTCGTGCATCTTTCTTGACCGTCCGCAATCATCTTGGAAATCTTGGTCACCTCGGCCGCAAGCTGCGGCGGGGTCATGGGCGTGGTGAACGGTTCCTTTTCCTGCACGCTGTTGGGGATCTGCGGCTTGTCCTGTGACATGTCCGTTGGAGTTGCCGCCGCCCTCGCATCTCGGGCGCTCATGACCTTGGCAGGCCGGCTCTACGACTCATAGACCTACTACGAGTTGAGTTTACAAAGGCGCTGGTTCGAAAGCTGGTGGCTGGTGCGTGGCTGCGAATCAGCTGGGGGTCTCTTCACGTTCTCCCGTCAGCCCAGCGAGCGCGTGAGCAAGCTAGTGACCAAGTCTGCAAGAGGTTGGGGCGGCCAGTCTCATGAAGGTGCGTTGCCTGTGAAGAGATTTGGCTGGAGTGAGCGCAATACGTACCTCGTGGCCGCGGCTCAGACTTATTTGTGGGCGGGAATTATCGGAAAGGAGAGCGTCTCGCTCAAGGGCCGTAGTAGTCGCAATCGATTTCGCCCTCGCGAAGCCTAAAGCGCATTGAAAGTCAACAAGACTGGATGGGACGACACGGGTTGATGTGCACTTGGAATGCCGATCCAGGCCACTGCGAGCGAATGTCTGGTGTTTAAGTGGTCTAGGGAGGGCACGTTCTTGATTATTTATACGCCGTGAGTATACCCGGTCCGAGTAGAGTGGTTCGCAAATGCGAACTATGTGTACATCTAAAAAAAAAAGGCGATCTGTGACCGCATATCTTACCGACATTGCACCCATTAGCCGTTCCACATGTGCCAGCATTACTGTGCTTGCAGATGACAGATCATCGACGTATTGCAACGATACTAAGGTACCGGGCGTTGAATATGCGTTTCTACTACATAGATCTACTTCGGCCTCACTTCTATCCTTAGAAAATGGAAGGCACGTCTCACTGGTCCATGTTTCGACCGACAAGGAGTCTAAGCGCCCCGGTTTCTTCCAGTCCTCAGACCTCCTCAGCTCTCCGTCCAGTGTCGAAGGCCTTGAACATTCACTCAAAGACATGCCGTCACAGCGGCACTCTCGAACGAGGAATCGATTACTTGGAGAGGGTAGTCGGCGTCAGCCCATCACCAGACCTGAGATCAGGTGTGCCTGTCGTAACCTCAACAGGCAACCGCCTCGCTAATGTTCCGAGCCTATTATGTGTCGCCTTCCAGCCACTTGAAAATGGCCTTCAGGGGTCGCGTGCTGATGGGAACCCCTTCGCAATGAATCTTCTGTTCACATCATGCACTGCGCCGTACAGGTCTGTGCCTACAAAAAGCGCATTGCTATCCTGCACCTGTGAACCACACGACAAATGGCAGAATGAGGCTATTGGAACTTTGGAAGTGATATTCGATCACGCATGCAAGCTAACAATGCAACGCAGCCTCGCCTGCCCAAGACCTCATGTCCAAGGCCCCACTTATCCCAACCCCCGACGCAGCCTCACAAACAGGGCTGCGGGCTAATCAGTCCATATTCTTCGCTCGCAACCAACAGTCAAAAGATCAGGCATTTTGAGGCCTTCAATCAATCAGTCTGTGGCTGCGGCTCGTTCATTCGATCAAACCAATCAAACAGCTAAAGTCCGCATGTTTGCTAAGCAGCTACGAGACCGGGGGTAAGGACACCACCCCCCCGGCCCCTTTTTCCCCACACACACACAAACATTCAGGGGGTGTACTGTAGGGACACGAAGGCGCAGCTCAGACTAGCTAACCCTGTACATTAGCTTGGCATAGTAGCGTTTTATGAGATATGACTCAATTGCTGCAGTAGATGTAACCTAATGCACAGGGGAAACTAGCTCGGGCACGTAGTCTTGATATCCCGGAGCCTTGTTTTCGTTAATGGGGCAGCCAGATCATATTCGACGCCCCGCGCATCACCGGCCGACAGTTGGACTTGGGCCAGCGGAGACAATGAGGCTATTGTGCCGATCCTCGTGTGCTCTGGAGGCACCTCTCTTCTAGGCCTGACCTAGGGCTTCAGCGCCGCTTCGATCCGCGTTGGCTCCCAAGCTTCGAGCTGGCCGGTACAGGGGTGGAGAATGAATTCTAGCACCCTGGGCTTCGTGGCACCTTCGAAGGCGCTCCGACACCAATGACGTTCAGGCGTTGTTCCTGGCCGCGTCGAGTGGTCGAGACTGACGTATCTTCATGCGGACGGTCCAAGTCAGTAGTTGCCTTGCAGAACAAGAAGCGAATGATCGGTGGTGGTTGTCAGGGGTGAACCAATATAGATGTGTGACGCGATCAGACGCGCTAATTGCACAGTGGCGAAGCAGGCAAAGACGGCCTTGTTTGCCGTTTCTCGAGCGGACTCGACCCAGGCATCATGGCAGATCTTGCTGGGGCCTGTTCCACAAGCTCATCCACATCAAGGCGATGCGCCAGAACAACAAGCGCCACATCGTCAATGGGTACTCATGGCCTAGCCTAGCTTTTCTGCACGTGTCGGACAGTCAAAGAGATGGGTATTGTATGCAGACTGGGGGCGCCTTGTCCTGCCGGACACACTAATTAATTATACCAACTGTCATCACCCGCTGCCGAAAGGCGTCACCGACGAAAATAACACAATCGCGTCGTTTGATATTCTAGGGATCAGCGTGCGAGGCCTTACGGCCGTTCTCCGCATCAAGTCGAGTCTTCATCACTTGCGCTCTGCGCGCACCAGTGCCAGGCAATGACGAACCCGACAAAGAGGGGCTTGCCCTGCTCTCAGTCTCAGAAGTACGGAGTACATCTTCCTACTTCAGTGACTGTTTCATGTCTGGGCCAAATTTCGCGCGCAGTTGGGCATCACTTTCCACGCAGTGACGGGCTACGTACTCGAATTCTTGCCTACTATTCCAAGCAATACGTCCACAGAGGACTGGAACCAAGCTCAGATCCACCGCACTAAACTAGCATATAGCCGTCTTCTTCTTCATGCCTGTACTCCATACGGATACGTAGTGGCTGACAGGTACTGCAGTCAATCATTTTGCGCCCCCAGGTTGCATCACGCCATGGGCAGCTTCAGGGATCCTAGTCGGGCGGCGATTTACTGTTACGGTGTCTCGCAGAGTCGAAGACCGGGCCGGCTTCTCGGGACTCTGTGCAACAAGGCGTTTCGTGGCACGCGACATATCCAGAGGTGTCTGTGGTCGCGTGGTTTGACCCGCATCTGATTCGGCCGCGTCGATTTCGGGTGTTGCCTTTGTTTTCAAGGCCAGTAGATGCTCTGTTTTGTCCCGGAATTCTCTCAATTCGTTGTGCAGCTCCACAATGTCTGTGCTGTATCCGCGACGAAGCAGGTCTTCTGCAATCATGTGCACCTTTTCCGTGGCCAATTCCAGATGTTTCAGTAGTTGTTCATAACCCAGTGGTGTCTCTCGTGCTTCCACAGTTTGACCGAGTAAAAGAGCTCTCTTTCTTTCCCTTTGAAGTCGTTCCAGCTTACTTCCAACCTCGTTCATGAACCCATGTAGTTCATTGCAAATGTCTTGATGAGACCCGTTATACTCGTCATTATGGCCCTCAAGTCCGGTGGGCAGTATACTTAGTCGGTCGCCTTCAAGCCAGGCGGTCAAACCCACGATCAACGCTTCGAGGTAAGCTGCTGGGTCCGTAGGAATCTTGCCACGGGTTGAGGCCATGGCTTTTTGCAGATGGGGGTCTTGCACGAGCTCGTACAATTGCAGTTTCTCCTAGATGCCATTAGCATTTGCAGAACCGTGACAAGGCAGCGTGAACCTCACCGACCTTTCTCTGATGGTTGGCAAAGTTGAAAGAGACAAAGTACCAGACAAGAAGTAGAAGGCCGTCTAGCTTTATGTGATTGAGCCATGGAGACCGACGGACCCCAGGGTGTTCATGGTCACCGGAAAGCATCTGGCCAACTGGAGGGAACCTCGGCGCGTATCGTTGCTTCAGGCGATAGCGACTGGTAACTCGATTAGAAGATGAAGGAGTTCAAATAGAGTCTCGTTTGGTCATTGCATTTCGGTATCTTAAAAAGAAGCATAATAATACAGCCTGGGTCAGGTTTCCCTGGTACACTATGCCTGCAGGTAGCCTACATCTTGATAACAAGCCAATCTTCCTCGTCCGAATCGTCACCATTTTCCTGCTGACCATCGTGCTGCTGACTATCGCCATGTCCTGTTCCGTTCCTACCATCACAGAGATCTAGATTTCGCTTCAACTCATTCCAAGCCCCGTCCCATGATCCCTTGTGGTCCAGTCCCAAGTTGGCCTTATTGTCCCAGTACTTATCCGAAAGACCATCAAGCGCATGGAGGGGTTCGTCTCCTCCAATAACCCAAAAGAAGCGACCCATACCCGGGAAGCATCTTGGGCCAACCGCACGGCGGAAAGACGAGGCCATACGAGTCATAATGACACGTCGGTTGCTGAGTAACCGCCCTTCCAGATGAAGACAGAAGTCTGACATGTAGCAGCCATGGATTGGTTTGAACGTTTCATCCGGGCGTGGTGGGAGAAGCCTTTCGAAGTTGAGCAGCGCTAGAAGTCTCAGTGCTGTCTGTTGCATAGTCTCGTTAGATTGCGTGGGGTAATTGACCACAGGATGGACAAAGTCGGTATGACATAAGTTACCATAGGCCAAGCCAAGGGGCCAGTAAGCTTCGTCTCAGGCAACTCCTCATCGTTGCCCACTATTGGCTGTCTAATTGAATTACCAACAATCTAGGCAGCAGCTATACTTGGCGGGGCCACATTCAATGTAGCCCATGGCGACAAGGTGCCTACAATATTTTTGGTAGGAAAGTTACCAACTCTAGAGACAATTTGCCTTGTCGACTTCCAAGCTGTAGTTGGGGTGTTGCGTTGGATCATTTGCTAGGCTCCTAAAATGGTTGTGAATAGCAGGTGACGACTAACGCCCATGTGGATCTGAAACCGATGCTGCAAACGTGACAGTCCCAAATGATGTTTGCAATTAAATGAATATTCAATCATACAATAAGGATAGTCGTTGAATTTGAACGTGACTGTAGAGAACTAGGGCTGAGAGGTTCGTGGGTGAAGACTGGAGGACCAGGATTCGAGGCACCCAGCTGGATGACTGCAGTTGTTTCCTGACGACTACTACAAGTCTCACT